TAGTTTCTCTCTCTAATTTGTGGGGGTGTTTTTTTGTGGAATTGCAAAAGTAAAGACAATGATACATATTTCTTTTTTTTTTGCTTGAAATGAAGAAAATAATTACTGGCCAAAGTACTTTTCAGTCCCAAATGTTCGATTCAAACACCAGATACATGTCATCTCCACTAAAACATATTTTTGGAAATGTATTTCTAGATATCCAAACGGCATTGTTGTGTTTTGAGATCCACGTAACTCTAGCTCACAAAGAATGGATCCTTAATAGAGGAAGAATTAAAAGGGAGTTTAGGGCATAAGCAAAGCATGATAAATGGAAAAAGGATCAAATTAAATGGGTGTAGTAAATTCAAGAGAAAATTACGCTAATATCCGTTATAATATGAGTTATTACGGATCCACCTTTTAGTTTCCGTTATTACCAAGATGTTTGTTTTTTCCCTTTCACAAAGAAATTTTTTAAAAAAAAAACGTCTTTACCCTTTTTTGGGTGTTGAACATCCGAATTCAAAAACATTTCGATTGTTCAACAACCGAAAACAGGAATAGCTTATTTAACCTTCCCGCTCTAGTTTCGGTTTTTCAACAACCAAAATTAGAGTTTTCGGGTATTATAAACCGAAAGCCTAATTTCGGTTGTTGAACAACCGAAACAGTGGATTTTTGGTTTTGCAGCACCGGAAAACGGGAGTTGCTCTCCCGCTATGGTTTCGGTTGTTCGACAACCGAAATTAATTTTTTCGGTTATTCAAAAACCGAAAATTTGATTTCAGTTTTTGAACATATGAAATTTTGTCGATTTCGGTTTTTGATTAACCGAAAATATGTGCGTCAATATTTTCCACGTTTTAGTGTAACATTTTTATTTATTTATTATATAAAGTTGGGGGAAAACAAGCCAAATACAATATCATACATGGATCATACTTTTTTTAATTTCCCCCAATACAGTATCCTATGAGATTGGCTCACGGTCGTGATTCGTACCGTTTTGACTCTTATCTTATATTGTTGATTATTTTTTGTTAATTTTTTCACAATTAATAGAATATTTTATTTTTATATTTGTAATTTTTATGTATTGTTGATTAATAAATAATATTTATTAAAATATTGTTGAAGTTGTTTCTTTGTATAGTTATTTGTTGTTTGTATAAATATTTACTGTTCGTATTATGATGATACATTGTATTTATTGTTTTGGTTAAATATTGTTCAACTTGTTCGTTTGTATTAATATTTGTTATTTATTTGGTGTTTGTTTGAGTATTTGTTATTTTTGTTGTTTATTGATTATTTATCTTTTTTATAGTAGTACATTATTTAAATTTGTTATGTAATACTCGCATTTTATGAACCCTAAAGTAGTTAGAAATATCCAAAGTTTTTGTATTCTTTATTGTATCAATTTATTGTAACACAAATTTTGCTATTCATTTAATATAGTAACATTGACAATGGTTATTGAGGGAGTGCAACTGGTATTCCGATATGGGGGGTCATTTGAGACAAATGCAGATGACGAATGTATATTTTACAAAGGGGAAAAATTGAATGTTACAAAGTATAATGGAAATATTTCTTTGGTGGAACTAAAAAGTCATTTTAGTAATTTAACAATGTATGATTTAAACAAATTAGCTATTATGTACCACAACACAAGTCTTTTTAGCGGGCTTGATTTGATTGATGTAAGTGATGGTGTAGATGTATTTTTTATGTTGGGAGGGGAATCTTCGAAAGTTATTGTATATATTGCCTTGACAATGGAGCCAGAACGGGAATCTATTGGTGATGGTTCATCTTCAAGAAAAAAGTATATCTACAATTTACTTTTTCATCTGTAATTTGTTGTATTTCACTCTTTTATTTATAGAAATTGTTGCTTCATCTTACACTTTATCTTTTGTCAACATTCGGTGTAACACTTTACTTGATCAAGATCAAAACATTGCAGTAGCACCTAACCTTGAGCTTGTACCAGAGCGTTATGTGGAGCATATTGAACCACTAAAGAGCCCATGTAGAGGAGTCGGTAACGAGGTTCAATTGAATATAGGACAATATTTTGAAAGTGTCAATGAATGCCGACGTCATCTTGTGAATTTTGCAATCCACAATAATTTTGTTCTGAAGTTTGACAAAAGTGAATTGGGACGGGTGTGGGCGAGTTGTAAGGCAGAGAGATGCACATGGCAAGTGTGGTACTTACGAGTTGGCAATACGGCATACTTCAAAGTGAAATCTATGGTTAAGGAGCACACATGCAATGGTCTAATGGGGAAGGTCCATCAGCCACTAGCTCATAGTGTGATTGAGTGGCAAAAAAAATTAAAGCCCACCTTAGTGATCAACTAAAAATTAAAGTTAAAGATATTGTAAATGATGTCCAACGCGATCACGGTGTCAGGTTTTCCTACATGCAAGCTTGGCGAGGAAAGAGGTTGCTAGAGAGATGACAGATGGATCGCATGAACAACAATACCATGACCTCCCCTTGTATGTGGAGAAGCTCTGAAGAACCAACCCAAGAACCAAAGTTCGCATCGACACAGATGAATGCAGGTTCAAACGATTATTCATTGCTTATCGTTCATGCATCATGGGTTTTGCTAATGGATGCAAGCCACTAATTGGTATTGATGGGACATTCTTAAAAGGAAAGTATCAAGGCATATTATTGTGCATCATTTCTATAGATGCAAATAATGGGCTCTTTCCATTGGTATTTGCAGTGGTTGAGAAAGAGAACTACCAGAGTTGGTATTGGCTCTTAAATATACTGAGTGAGCTATTATATGAGTTTTCTAATATGTCTGTCTTAACAATTATATCAGATCGACAAAAAAGCTTGTCAAAAGCAATAAAAAAATGACTTCTCACGTATTTTCCAGCATTCTGCATGTGACATATGAGAGAGAACTTCAAAGGCTTTATGAAGAAGTCAACAAATACCGAAGTATTGTTGATGTTGTTTTGGAAGGCTACGCGTAAAGCGACCATTAGTGGGTTTGAAAAAATTATATTTGACATATAGTGTGACGAATCAGAAGCATATGAGTGGATTAAGTATATCCCTCCCAAATATTGGGTAGATACCTATTTTCCAATGACAATATACAATCATCTTACCTCTAACATAGCTGAGTTATGCAATGCTTGGATAATGGCGGCTCGAGAGAAGCTGATCCTTATAACGTGTGAAGAAATAAGGGTATAGTTGATGATCAGGTTTGAAGAGAAGAGAGAGTTAAGTAATAGTTGAAGCGGCATGTTAGTATCAAAAGCCCAAGAATTACTGGACTTGCGAAAGATGAAAGCTAGATTTTTACACACAGTTATATCCGCCATGGATACACAATCTGAGATCCACTATCTTGGGAAGAAGTATGATGTTGATTTAACTCATTGGACATGTAGTTGTAGAAAATGGTAACTTCGTGGCATACCATGTACTCAAGCGATTGCGACTATTAACCATATGCATTTGGATCCCATTGCATATTGCCTTCAGTATTTCACAGTGGAAACATTTAAAAGGGCATGTAAAACTCCCTTTGGGTCTGTCCCGAATGATATTGAGTTGATAAGTATGTTTAACCGGACAGTGTTGCCACCAAGGATGATGCGCCTTCCCAAGTCATTATAGGAGGACATGCAGAAAACCGATAAAGTGAATTATTTATTGTCAATCTTGTGTTTTTGTATGGAATTAATAATTCGATGAATTAATGAAATGAGTGATTTAGGTGCCGTCAATCTTGTATTGTACTTGTTGTTAGTGTGAATTGAGTGATTTAGGTGTTGATTTGAATCTGATATATAAAAGTTAGTAATATGCTGAAAAAATTCGGGCAAAGAAAGTCTATAGAAATCAAGATGTAGAAATAAGAGATTCAATGTGCACTACACATTGTAGAGCATGGAAACATAAGGTAGTATTCGACCTTTAATAAGAAGGAAATCCCAGTAATATAATGTTTAAAACTATGGAAATCGATGACAAGGTAATGTAGTTTCAAGCAATGGAAGTAGAAATCAATGAAAAGAGCATTGAAACAAACGTATGATTTAATGACAAATTATTGTATTATAAGATTTACAACAAGCAATGGAAGAAGAAATCAAGTTTTAATGGCAACCATAACGCAATTCATTCAATGTACAATATTGGTACGTTAAAGGAAATTACAACCGAAATTATGATTTCGGTTGTTCAACAATCGAAAATGTTCTTCCAATTTTGGTTGTTCAACAACCGAAATTCTTCTAATTTCAGTTGTTCGACAACCAAATTGTTGACTGTGAAAATTCAGGGACTTTGGAATTTGCAATCAATAATTTGGTTGTTAAACAATCGAAACTGGCATAATTTCTGTTGTTGAACAATCGAAATGGTCTTTGCGAACAACAGAAGGTCCTTGGATGTTCACAGAGACCATTTCGGTTGTTGCACAATCGAAATGGAATGGTCTATGCGAAAATCTAGGGAAGAGACCATTTCGGTTGTTGAACAACTGAAAATGTTCAATTTCAGTTGTTAACAACTGAAATGTTTATGATTTCATTCTTTCCATGATTTTTTTTGAATCATACATGATTGTATCGTAATTCGGCTCCTACTTTTATCATTTGAGTTGGATCCAGTTTAAAGTTTTTTGTTCTTGTGGTTACTACGCCATGTACTTATTGGTTGCATTCAATATGTTAATTGAGTTGGTCATTTTCAGTCATGTGCATAGGGTAGAAGCTGCTCATGGGCTTCTTAATGTTGTTTTCGTCACATTTAGTTTATAAATTTGTTGCTTTAGATTGTTCGCAACATATGTAGAATGCTAAAATGTCAAAACCTATCAATGTCTTGGCTCTAGTTGGGGCACCCTAATAATGAACTACATAAATTAATTTCAGCACAAGTATGAAAGTCACCTTGGAATGAAATTTTGAAGTATATTTAGCAATGCTGGTGCAAACTCCTTCAATTACTTATGAACATGATCTCAAGGAATCATGAAACAGTCCAAAATGGATTACCAAATGTATTCAATACATTACAAATGTATTCAATGACCATTACATTTAATGACCAATACATTATCCTTTCATAACATTACAAATGTATTCAATACATTACAAATGTATTCAATGGCCATTACATTGCCAAATAAGACATTTACACTAGTCGCTTTCCCTTCGCCTAATACTGCTTCTTTCGTGTGTTATGTCTTCTGAGCTCTTCAACTGTAGGTTGTGTGGATGGAGCTAAGTCTTCTGAAGGCTGTCTACTGTCACCCATTACATCTTGTCCGCCCTCTTCTTATACAACTTCATTATTAACTTGACGTAAAATTTCCATCCTGGCTTCAATATCAACTATGTCGACAGGCACAAACTTAGACAGCATTTCAAACGCGTTGTTAACGTGATTATAAACTTCAAGAAACCACTTTTGTCTAAGTGTAAGTGCCTCTGCTAACATGGTTGTACTAGCCTGATCTGCACTAACCTGCAAAAACAATTTGTAGGTTAATATAAACATAACAATTGATAAGCAAGTACAAAACGAAAACAAGTTATCGGTTAATATAAAGATACCAACTGATCCTCATATCCTCGAGGTCTCATTATATACTGTGGTTCATGTTCAAGAACCACCTCTTCTTCTTCTTGGTTCTAAGGTTGCAATATGTCTTTTGGTGGATTAAAGACATTATGTATTATAGGATAGGACACTTGGTTGTACCAGACTTTGTACTCCTCTGAGGGCAACCCATTGGCAATATCGATTTCAATGTCTGCTATCATGTGATCATGACGAGACAAATAATTATGGATTTTATCTGAATTGACATTTCGCTAATCTCGCTGCCCAACATGTCTGCTAAATCTCTTACCAACAGATGTGGGATTTCTTAGAATGTCGTGTTTAGCTCCAAATTGCCGGCAAACACGATGTGGCATGTACGGCTCGACAATATCGTCAAAGATAAGCGTCGTTATTCATATTGCAGTTTCGAATGTCTGATGCCTATCTTCTGAAATGGCATCATCAAGCTTGAAATAGGGATTCCATATTACCTATTATATTATATGCAATCACACATACGGTAATCAGTCAACAATAAAAACTATAGATACTTTAATGCAATTGAAAGTAATTAATATCAAAGTACACACTAACCTCATTAGGTTGGAGGCTATCCAATTCTTGTCTAATGGGAGGCATCATGTTATGTGGATTGCCATAATAGTTCTTTAGTGGCTCCCATCTCTTTGCCCTAGGCATATTTGGAGAGATACTATGTGGTATGAGCCTCATATGCATAATATACTCATAAGACCAGCACTGCATTAGATCAAGATATGATAAATAATAAATATTATTTCTAAGTAATCTAACTATTCTGCTTGTGTCAATACAAAAATTAAATTTACCTGAATAAGAGTGGCTGAGCCACTAAAATGTCTTCGCTTGAATGTACAAGCTTTTCCAAGGGATTGATAAAGAAATACGAGGGTTGCAGCACCCCAAGCATATCCCCCAGCTTCCTCAATATCTTCAAAGAATTGCAAGTATCTCGTTAGCACTGGTGCAACTGACGCATCAACGAAAATGGTAACGCTAATGAGGAAGTGCAGATAGGCTCAAGTATATCTGAGTACTTCCACAGGGGTTGCATCAGGTGGAATTGCCTAAAATTTTTCTTTAACCATGAATGCTTAATGGTTGTCAGGTTGCCTCCAGTGGGGACTATACCCAAATTGTTTTCTATGAACTCCCGGAGGTCACTAATAGGACGACATGTAACAGACTCACCATCCACAGTCAGTCTTAGAATCTCGTATACATCAAATAAAGTTGGTATCATCTCACCAATTTGAATGTTGTAATGGAATGAATTTGTCTTGGAACGCCACCTCTCTACATTGGCTGCGACCAAAGGATGATTAATTCGACCTGATTGGATGATAGATAGAGCACCCAATCCAAACGCATTCACTAATTGAACTTGGTCATCGGTTAGATGCCAATCGTTCAATTGAAAAGTCTTCTCATCGATTCTAATTTCTTGTTTTTCCTGAAATACAACAAATAGAAAACATATGAGTCATAATAAATATACACATGTATTTACCATATGATGTTGAAACAAACTACAATTTATTAAAAAATAACAAACTAATGGAAAGAGCCAATGAATATATGCAGATACATGTCCTTCTCATATGAAATATGATGAACGTTCTGGGTGAAGCTATAGCAAACTAGGGTCTTGAGGACCTCCTGGATGGACACGACTCATATTCACTAAAATCGAGACAAAAATAACT